TATAGTAAATAGTATAAATATCATTATTATGTATATATTTAGATCTTGAGAAATTATTATAGAAATATTGTAATAAACTGTAGAATATTATAAGGATATATTATCCCAAACAACAAAGAAACAGCTTTTATATAAAAGTATATCTTTATCTTTATCTTGTAAAGTGTATAATCTTTCAACTCTATTCTCCATTATAATAATCATCCAAAAGTAAAAATTACTCTCTTGTACAAGAAATATAATGCTGTATTGAAAGTGTTAAAATTATATGCAGAAGATGGATTACAATTTCTAAAAATGTGTAATATATCAAAAGTAGAGTACTTGTTATAATTAAATTAAATCAAGCAAATTTCTATCTATTAAGCATGTTCATAAAAATGGTTCAAAGAAATGCGAATGAACTTATTACACAATATATGATGGAAAGCAAACTATTTTTTGATTTATGACTCACGCCAAATACCACTAGATTCAAAGCAGAATTATGGCTGATGCTTCCCGTAGTAACGTCGATAGTATCGACTTGTGACAAAGGATAAGCCGCGCATGTAATACTTCCTATCTGCCAGTAAATTTCCCGTTCGATGTTCAAAATATGAAAAAACATTTCGATTCTGGCTAACTTCGCTGACAGCGTCAAAGGCGTTAAATGTTGACTGTTCCTGATTGGTAAGGATGCACCAACTTCATACGCCATATCAAACATAGTCTTGCTCGGGAGAAAAGTTGATCGAATTTATTGATAATTTCATTTCTTCTGGATTAGTCTCAAGCCTTGTTCAGACTGACAGACACTGTCCGTGAACAGTTTGGATTTATATTTTGTTTCTCATTGTCTGCGGGTTGTTTTATGGTAGTGATCTCTCAGTCTGAACAAGACTTCATGTGGCACTAGTGGTCTAGAAACTCGCTCTTTATGGTCAAAAGTTAATTTTACAAGTTTATTATGTCGAAACATTTTTTTTCTTTTTTTTTAACCATATTTTTGTTGAAGAAGAGAACGTTTTTTTGACCACAAAAAGTGCCATTTTGCAAGCCACTGTGCATTCAGCAACTTACCAGCTTTTCATAAATGACCAACATATGTAAAACAGTATTCCCATTTGTGTCTTGCTTGTCTGGGTCTGCTCCCCTGGCGAGTATTAATCTGTAACATTCTTCCTGTCCCAAACATGCAGCGAAACTTAAAGGATACTCGCCCCAATAAACGTATCTAACGCAAACGAGACGAGATGAAAGTGTCGGTCATACATCAGGCGCGGGCGTGTTCATTTGTATTCCACTCAAGTATCATCTACTTTACCCGTTGTAATTCGTCTCTGGAGTTACGCAAACCCATTCGTGATCCAGACTGTCCGACCTCGAGGCTTTTTGATCCTCCGGACACATGAAGTTGCCCACGCATCTTTCATGTACGTCCGCGCCGCTGTCCAAAAGAAATTTCACTAACGCTGGATCTTCGTTTACTATCGCGATATGTAACGCACTCTCACCTGTGAAGAATAATCGAACAAACGAGCAGATACAATGCGACGCACACAATGGTTTCCAAAATCAATGTTTGGCCATTCAGAATCGATAAGAGTGACATTTGTACAAGTTTTTGACAAATTTTTGTTAACAATACATACTTCAACGTCAAGGATATAAAACATAGATTTCAAGAATTCCAAAAGCTTTTTAAGTATTGTAAATTCAAGTCTTGAATTGCTATAACGAAGTTGATTATGAATCGTCATGCGACGTGACCGATAAAAAAAAAAAAAAAAAGAGAAGAAGAAGCAAATTATCTTGGTCTTCAATGCGTTCGTTACCATTATTAATACTTACTAACCGTAGTACTCGTCGCTGATATATACATCGTTGATAAGCTTAGGATAAAAACGTAGCAAACGTTTAGCCAGGTCAATGTGAATAGCAGTCGCGTGTAACATGCATAAATGCAAAATCGTCTCTCCGACCGCTCCTCTTTCGCTTAAGCTCCAGCAGACTAATCTATATTTGCTTTTATCTATTAAAAGGAACGATAAATAATTACATCTCCGATCGTCTCTATCCGATCTGCCGACCGATTTTTACCTATTTTCGCCTCGTCCAGTTCATCCTCGTTTTGCATATCCTTGTCGATATCGTAATCGGCAGGATTCTCCATAGCTCTCAACGGCGGAAGCTGTGACACGAAGAAAGATTCAAGCAAATTATATACCTACTACGACACAATACAATTGAATGTCAATTACCATTTTGTGCTTCGGACGATCCTTATTTCGCAGCAAGACCAACTTCTCGATCGGGATCCATTTGCCTTTACCCTTGTTGTATAAATACGGTTCTACTTTCGTTCTTAGAGCATGATCCAATTCCGCATACTGTTTAGTTTGCGTTGCCCTTTTCATCATATCTACCAATAATCCACCTCCTGTACAGGATGGAAAAAGCGTTTAACTCTTTGAGGCATGAATACTTGGAAAATAGTATTGTAATTGTCGATCATGTGAAATGACACAAAATGGAAAGTGGAAGATAGATTAATAACTTCTACCAGGGAAATGCAACGAATTAATTAAGCGCGGCATAACATAAACCTTAGTCATTTCAATTTTTCAACGTAGATTGCAAAATGTGAGATTCCATCAAGATGCAGTGGATATCCTATAATGAACTGTTATAATGCTTATAAGCGAACAGTTTTTCTGAAAATTCTATAACAAACAGTTTTTCTTATTAAATAACAATTTATAAATGTATAAATATAATTTATAAATGCACATAAATGCAATTTATAAATTTGCACACGTGTGTAATATATAAATAAATTAAGCTGACGATATATTTTATAATTTATTTCATACAGCATTTATATATTTATATAATATTCTTGTTTCACATATTTCGTATTGAGAATACATGTAACATCTCTAAATATACGTATACATGTATTTTATAACGAATAAAATTCTAGAAGGAATTAATTCGTTATAGAATGTCCTACTATATCGAGAAAAATGAAACATTTTTAATCTACTATATCTCAAAGAGTTAAAACGTTAAATCTCCTAATTTTACCTTTCAGGTCGACTAATTTATAAAGCACGATGGACGAAGCATCCGTCTGTTTCTTCACTCCGCTAGCTACGTTGCTTTCTGTATTTCCCATATTTCTTTT